TAATATGTTCGTTGGGCTATGACTCATTATCTACCAAAAGAACTAGGTATATGTTACGGCCTGAATTGCATTCTGCTAGGATAGACGCCAGAGCTACTGATACTTAAGACGCCCCCCCCCCCCCCCCCCTCCTCCATAAAGGTCTTTCTTCTTTCTTACTTATGCAAACGTAACATTATCTAATGTATTGCACTATAGGCAAAGGAATTGAAAACAACTTTGCCTTCCTTAGCTCAGTTGTCAGGTGCGTTAGAAAAGAACAAAGTATATTTGGAGCATATTTTCATTCGCTCGTTTGAAAATTCAACATTTGATTGTTACCGTTAGCTTTAATGGAAGTATTTCCTGATCTTGAAAGGCCGTGGCTATATTTCTTATATTCTACACGAATTCAATGAAATGTGTGTCTGTTAAATGTAAACTTAATAATATATATTTACATTTGCATGGCATTGCCACTATATAAGAGATATGACTGTCTGAGGCAGCATATCAACCTCTTTATATATTGCCAATGCAAAAATATGTGTTTGTGTGTTGACGAATCGATCGGAATCGGATATCATCTATAAATAAATGCCAGATGACCAATAATTTTTGCCATATACGGAATCAAATATTTGTTTTTTTGGTTTTATTTAGACTGGAGGCTTGTAAGGATAACGAATCTTTTACAGCCTATAATGAGTGAAGCGAACGAAAGACATAAACAGCATTTTTTTGTCTTTCGGGAGACTCTTAACAGTGTAAGAAAATTTGATCTCAATTTCTATGCAGATCAGGACAAGACATCTAAATGTGTTACGAACAACAACAGAATGTAGACGTTCTTTTAACAATTTCCTGTCTAAGATCAAATTGGCCACAGACCGCCTTTATATTGTGTAAGTAATAGCATTTCAAGATTTTATCCATCATAAATATTTTCCAGTCTCCTCCATGATACTGTAGATTAATCAAATAAGCATTGCTTTAATTTTCTGTGTGCTGATGATATGACTGCCATAGGAAATGCAATTTACTGACTTTGAAAATATAGTATTATGTATTCATAACACGACATGTTTTCAATTCAATATCCAGCATTGCATGGTTGATAAGACCAATATACTATAATACAAGAATTGCAGAAAATAAAAACAAATCATATTTGTTAAAGAATTTTTTTTCTTTACACATATGATTTTAATATATATGGTCAGTAATGTATTGCATTTTACTGAAAATACGAAGCCAAAGCAGAAACTGTAGTCTTAGCGCTCATTTAAATCTTGTATACAAATATTGTTGCATATAAATGATTTAAGAAATTATTATTCTTCAGTTATCAAAACAGACATCAATTGTTTATCATCTTTCTAGATAAAAGATTGTAGACTTTGCTAGTGCATTTTTGAGTCCCCGAAGTTTGCCGTAACCGTGATAGCTAAAGCTATCTCTTTTGAGTAGTGCCAAAGTTCATAACATGCTCACGTAACTCATTTATTAAATAGCCAGCAATTCTCTTATTTCTGAAAAATCATATATCTAAGGGATATGCGCAAATAAATGTCATTAAATGTATATACATGTAAATGTATAGGCATGACATAAAGAAGTTCTTTGTTTTTATTCAGGAACAAGGAAAACGTAAATTCTTGTCAACAATATGTCATTAATTGTGAATCGACTTTTATCCATTTGAAGGTTTTTGTAACATATAAGAAAAGCCTAATGTGATCTTCATTAAATACATATACTTCATTGATTGATACTCATTGGATGAAAAATCCTATTTTTCAATTATGCCATGATACACATGGACTTAAATTCTTATCTTTGGACGAGTCTATCATAAATACGAAACAACCTGACCTATGCATTTTTACAGCTTTTTGAAACAATGTTCTGATCTTTATTCTTTACTAGAAATATCACAGAGAATCAGATACATAAAATTATCAGAGATAACAAACAATCAAAAATTCAGTTCAGTTTGTTTTAATATTCTTTCAACAATTATGAATAACCCTATACAAAAACCAATAAACTGTGATGTCTTTATGCTATATTATACTTTAATAACAGCAAAAGCATTCGCGTACAGTAATAACATGTACCACAAGCTCTACGAGACGATGCTCAAGCGATACCAAAAATGGTTACATAATCAGACAAACACATGTGTACCAGAACTAGAATCCAGGCTGCAAAGGTTTGTAAAAACTTGATAAAATTTATAAATTTATGCATTCATTTTTTTCTTTCTTTCAAATAACAACAATTTTGTATGAAACAATTATAACATTAGGGATGTAGCCCCACCCTGCTGGTGTACATTATTGTGAAATATCACAATATAAGGAGTCCGTATCAGAATTTGATAACATCCTGATCAAACATGTCCTCAAATAGTGTGATGTTGGCTAATAGCCTGTTGATTTTCTGATTTTCTGAACCGCTCTCATACATTTCCTGGCAGGGTCTTGGAGAATGTGTCACACACAAAAATGTAAGGGGAGATAACTCTCAGCTATGGTATTGAGAAAGGACGACAACCCATGCAGGATCTCGTAATAAGGCACAACAACACCAAATATCTTTGTACTCTGATAAACAGAATTATTTTTTTATCAAATAAATTCCAGTATTGACCTTTAGTATTAATGGGATGACAACAATCCCATTGCTTAAGATGACATGCTGCTATAATGAGGTACAGACATGTATATAATATTTCCTTATGTGTAGGCTTCCCAAGAGTCCTATTCCGGACATCATCTGTCATAATTGCGTAATATACAGTGGGATGCACCATATTTTTGGAGTGTTATGAACCGTAGACGCACAGAGGGAATGTATCAAAGGTCACTTGATTGGATTAGTCTTGTGCTGACCCCTTCTGGGAGAGTCGTTGGGCGACTAATTTACCTGAGCGTGCGCGCCCTAATAAATGCGTCTGGGCAGCCAAACTTGATATTTTGTTTTCACGAAGACAATTGATTATAAGAGACATTCCCTAGGAGAACGAGTGAGGAAACTTTGTTTTATAATCATTGGTTCAGAATTGGTAGCAGATTTCATGGTAATATGATAATTATTTCACACAGCGGAAAGATCAAAAAAGGATACCAACAGTGGGGCCGAGAAGTTCTACGTTTAGTAATCTTAGGTCAAAGGGACCAGCTTTGAAAAGTTCAATTAGGTCAACTGGACAGCAGAAATTTCTACACGTGCTTTTCTGTGTTTGCGTATTGCAGGTTATCTTCTCTTGTCAGCAGGTATTGATTGTTACGTCATTGGTTTGTGTGAGAAAATTACGTCGTTTTCCCAAAAATTGATGACGTTTCTCACACAAACTAATGACGTAACAATCAATACCTGATCACAGGAGAAGATAACTAAGCATTACGCAAAGACGGAATATGTTTCTTAGCTCGACCTATTTACGTTGGCGCTGAAGTTGTATAACGTTTGTTTGTTTTATAAAGATATAATATATGTACTACATTCTGTATCATTGTAAACCGTAACGATAATTATAATATCATGACTTCTACGGAGAGTTGACATATACTAAGAAGCAGAACATTTCTCTGTTGACATTTAACAAACACTCCAATAAATAAACAGGAAGAAACGAACATAAATCGTTTTAGAAGCATATACCAAAAATCCAATACAGAAGGACAAATTGTAAATCAGAGCCGGACCGACAACATCAGAAACTTGAGAAACTTTGAAAATTAGGTACGTAGCAATCGGAAGATAATCCTTGGTAGGATTTCAATATGTCAGTACAACGTATCTATCCAGAGAATACGTTAAGTATCTACAAAATATTGATATGTGTATTGTTCATAATTATACATTTTTTATTGGTAGTACAATTATGGGCTTTTCCTGAGGTGAATATGTGGTTATATGAACCTGAGAAAGTGATACTGACCGAGACGAAGTCGAGGTTAACATCACTTCTTCATTCGTCTCGGTCAATATACATTTTAAAGATCCATTTAACCAAATTTTCACCAAAATAAAGTCTGAAAAATGAGATACTAAAAACTCCTTTAAAAATTTAACAAGATTGAAAGTATAAAAAAAAATAGACAAAAAACACTTCTTTTGGTAGAGGGCATGCCGACATTACAATTGAAATGACATCATCAAGTAAATATTGACCTGCTGTTTCTGAAAGAGTAACATCGAGTCAATATCACAAATGACTGACCGCAACGTGATTATGATCAAGCAAATGAGGACGTAGGGAGAAGTATGTCATTTAATGCAACACATTAATCTTTTTACGATGTTTAATTATTCTGTTTGCAGTTTTTTTTCAACCACTAAGATACACATTGACATTCATATAAATGGCATCTTATCTTGAGTGGATTTCTAGCAATTATATCACTATGTGTAAAATATATGTACTTCATAAGGCGTCTTTTAGAATGTGTGTGCTACTCAGCCATAACGGATATTGGCCTTGGTCATCTCGCGGTGTACATTTATCGACAATCCAATGATGAGGCGTCTTGTAGCGTTTTCATGCCTGTCTTGTCAATGGCTTCTTGTCTATGACAGATATATTGAGAACAAAAAATAGAAAACACAAATAATAGCAGCCGCGGTGAGATAACATTTATTGCTTCATAACAAAGGTGCAAGGTTCAGTCATCTTTGCTCCTATTTACCAATGTAGTCTGGTGAAGCTGGGATCAATCTGAAAGGTCAACAGAGAACGCTGTACATTTCGAATATCTGTCATCACCGCCGGAAGTGCATTACCGTTAATTGTAGGAGACCGGAAACAGAGTCGTAGTTCCCTCACAAACAATGAAATGGGTTATAAGAGACCAAGCCAACACAGATCGAAAACACGAATTCGGTTATGCCTACAGACGAACCTACTTCCTTTACTTAGGTATATATATAACTTGTTTCTGACACGATATTATGGGGTTCCCACACGTAAACCTGAAATAACCGATTTAGTGTATCACTGTTTTCCTTTGTAGATCCTACAACAGCCTATACTGATACAGAAGACACGTGATATTAAAAGACGACCAATGACACAAGGAAGATCTCCGAAACATATGAAGTGAGGCCTAGGGGTCACGAGATGTTTGGCCTTGTTAACTGATCTGTTTACCAGGTAAACAATTTTACTTTACTGGTTTACTTAACGTTGTGTGGTGCTTTTTATTTTATACAGTTTCAATGTGATCATCACAATTGATAAACATAATACGGCCAAATACGTGCATGCCGGTTTTTTTTTTTTTTTTTTTTTTTTTTTTTTTTTTTTTTTTTTTTGATCTTTGTGCTCATTTAACCAACGTAGGAAAAGATACCATACTGTAAATGTAACAGATCTTTATAAACATATCACTGCTGAAAAAGCGGAGTAATAATGTACTATTAATTACGTAGGTTCATCCTTTACATGGTTTTACTTGACTCACATGTATTTTTATCAAACGAGTCCAGTTCTTTCATGGAGAATTTACTACTACACGTAAGTTACACATTTATAACGCGGGCTTATCCGTAACGTATGTGTATTTGATTCAGAAATGTATTTGTAACATGAGTGGTATTCAAACATGGTAGTATTATTACACGGATGTGCTATAACATGGTAGTTACACTCTTGGTCATGGTAAACAGGTAAACATGTGTATTTGTTACACTATAATATTGTTGCATTGTTTTACATTACACATAGTAGTAATTGTGACTCGATAGTACGATACATTGGTGTACGTGTTTACACGTATTACTGTTACAGGTTTGGTGTTGTTGAGTGTATACTATAGTACGTTACACGGGTGTATGTGTTACAAGAACACTATAGTACGTTACACGGGTGTACGTGTTACATGTATTACTGTTACAGGTTTGGTGTTGTTGAGTGTATACTATATTACGTTACACGGGTGTATGTGTTACATGTATTACTGTTACAAGTTTAGTTTTGTTGAGTGTATACTATAGTACGTTACACGGGTGTATGAGTTGCATGTACACTATAGTACGCTACACGGGTGTACGTGTTACATGTATTACTGTTACAGGTTTGGTGTTATTGAGTGTATACTATAGTACGTTACACGGGTGTTTGTGTTACGTGTACACTATAGTACGTTACACGGGTGTACGTGTTACATGTATTACTGTTACAGGTTTGGTGTTGTTGAGTGTGTACTATAGTACGTTACACGGGTGTATGTGTTACATGTATTACCGTTACAGGTTTGGTGTTGTTAAGTGTAGGTAGAAGTTAAGCTGTTACATTTACACTATATTACGTTACACAGGAATGGTTGTTAGAAGAATCCATTACTAGATAAAAGATAACGTTAATAACATATCCTCATTTTATGTAAACTTTAAAAGAATTGTACACTGTATGTAAATGCAAATGTTTAAAACTTATTGAAGATATTCGTTACTTTTTCAATGTCTTTTACATGGCAGCTCATCCCGAACTGGACTTAGTGACCTTAATAATTTCCATAACAGAAATTTGAAAATCATTCTGTCAGCAATATGTGTATAAACTGACAAAGCTGCCTTCGGAATAGCTAATATGGATGTGTCTGTCCTGTTAGAAATATGGAAATCGTAAACCAATAGGTACTTGTCGCTTTGCCAAGGTCTTTGTCGTGCCCATTTGTATGCTTATATCGTTCAATGAATCCGATCCAGTGGATTAACAATGAATAATCTGGGCTACATTATCGAGACACATGTGATCCGTGTAAGAAACTGAACAGATTTACATGTAAATGAGGAAATTATCAACCGTCACTCACTCTGTGAAATGTGCATTTATTCCGTCTTACATCTCAAGCTTCATGCATATTCCATCTAGATGTTACCAAACAAACAATTGATTGCTGTCGTCATTTCTACATTTGGAGATTTTCTGAACACTTGTATCTATCAACAGAAAACATGACCAAGCAGTTTCTCCCCCCCCCNTAACACTTTTCATACTTTATTGCAATGAAAGGGGGTTGGGGAGAGATGAAAACCATAATAATGTAAGGATATTCTAATATATATACAAGATTTTGTATGAAATGTATTCATTGACAGAAAATAGCATAAAACAACCAATCGTATAAATTGCAATGGTATATAGCTATATGTGAAATATTTATCAGCGAAACTAGTGTCATTATGCTTCCCTTTGCAGATTTCTTTTTCAAACACAGAATATCGCGTACATTCTGCCCTATGTACAATACCCAAAAAAGAAATTCAAAGCGAATCATTATATGGCTTTTAGCAACAATATCGGAATTAATTTATTTAAAAAACATAATAACCTTTTTGTATCCCGAATGTGACTGAAAGGGAACAATTTGATAATAGAGGTATACAGATATGACATCATTAGGACGTTTCTCTGCATCCATTTTCTGATGAGGTACTTTGATAAATGGGTCTTCAGCAAGAAAAGGCTGGCATCGACACATTCAGAGCGCTGTTTTACCACGCTTAATGGACATACTATGTTTGCTTCTCTGTCTAATTATAATGCTTCGCAATGGAAACTGTTCACGTCAAGTTATATCTGAATATGAAGACAATGATAAACACATTAAATGATGTGATGTATTGATTTAAAAGATTTGATATTTTTTTTTCTAAATTATAATTGTTATTTGTGATACGTAATTGGAATTCATTGATCAATATCAGGTTCGATAGCTATATTAATTTGATAGCTGTTTAAGTGTAAAACAAATGTTGCGTTTTATACAATTTACACATTACCATAATGTAACGAAATTGATTTTACGATATACATATAAACAGTTCTAGAGAAACAGTAACACTGTTAATGGTGTAAGTCTATTGTTACACATTGCACATCAGATGCCACAGATGAACAGAATACCAGGCGACCCGTGAAGCATTATTGCGCTGAGAGGCAGCATGCAGGCATCACATAATGGTGTTTATAGTAATGTGGAAGTGACACAGTAAATACATGTTGATATTTACAATTGTAATTGACAACGCATTACAACAACCTACTCCTCGTAAATATCTGCACATTTCTCACGTCTCAAAATACACACCAAACAAGTGATATTATCTTACGCCGCAAACAAAATAGCGTTAACAATAATACCCATACAACAGAATAGGAAAATCGGGCAACATTTTCAAGCCGAACATCTAGGGGGACCAGGTTTGGTGACCCCTGGGTTTGTATTGTTATTTTTATTGTCGTCGACGTAACGACTTAGGGTTATAATTATTGTCATTTTGGGAAAGGCTATGTATTTTTTGTTTATTCTTTTAAGTGTTTTTTGTTATATTTTTTTTCCAGAAATAAACATCATCCACTTTTCTTTTCTTTGGCAAGTTGATATACTCTGCACTTTGTTCTATTAACAGAACACATACTATCATCGTTGGCGATGGTTTCCTTACTATCATTATTCAAATCAATAGCGTCACATGGTACTTCAATTATGAACGTTATGGTTTCGTAATCATTTCCAAACTTAACTTTAACCATAACCAGTAACCAGTAAGGTTGATATACAGCTGATTGGATATACCAGTAAATATACGTTTTTGCATTGTATGGCAAGTTCCTGTGCCACTTTCTCACAAGTGTCAAGTTTTGGGTACACTGGCGTTGAATTCTGTACATGCAAACATTCTCTCCTGAAATGCAATCTACATTAACTTTAATAGCACTCATATATATTCGTATTTTGGTAGTCACCATATCTTTATTGTATGAAATTATGTTTATATTATGTGTCAAATTCGCTCTGTAAATTGTTATTATTAAACCCAATTCTGCAATGTTATTATATTTTCTTTGAAATGCTGATGCATGTGCTATATACATTAAAACAAGTAACCGAAATAGATTGGGGCGGCCGTTATCTTTTACATTATGCTACTCCGTCTTTGCGTATTGAAGAGTTATCTTCTCTTGGGAGCCGGAATTGATTGTTACGTCAGTTGTTTGTGAGAATAACGTCATCAATTTTTGAGAAAACGACGTAATTTTCTCACACAGACCAATGACGTAACAATCAATACCTGCTCCCAAGAGAAGATAACTCTGCAATACGCAAAGACGGAATTGATTCGTTTCAGTTGTTTGAGTACTGATTTTTCATTGAGCTTGAGATCAAATGATGCCACTAAAAACGGTTACAAAGATATAATTCAATATTCATTTCATTATATAGAATTAAAGGAATATCATCAGTGGACGTCTTGGCTTGTATTCGTAAGGGCAGTATACAGCAGCTGACACATATTTTGCGCAGTCGCCACCATTTAATCATTAAGATCAGAATTGATGCGTTAGCTAACGGTCATCCATCAGCGCCTAACAATGGTTGTAAATCGAGGTACCGCCGGCCTCAATCACCAGCAAGCGTGCTCTCAAGAACGCTTTTCTAAACACTTCTGATGGATTTACGGGTACGAGTTGTCCGATTTTATAGTCAGGCTATTATTGTGGAGATTTATATGTGGATAAATTATTGTGAAATTGTTATCAGTTGTCTCGTTTTATGTTTAGTTTTGTACTTCAGCGATGAATGTATATAAAAGATTCCACATTTCATTATAGCGCTAAATTATCACTATAGTAAAAATATTATGGTGGCGATTCATGGGGGTGTATTTTTCAATGGCGTTATTTTCCCTTTGGTATCAAAAGTATACTTATATGTATATAGCTGTACCCATAACATACATACTCAATAATGTAGAGAAAATGTTAATGTTTACAAATAAGTGTTTATCTGTTGAAGACAGTTTTTAGCTCACCTGCCCGAAGGCTTATGCCGTACCGCGGCGTCCGGCGTCCTTTAAAAGGCTTTATCTCCTGAACGACTGATTGGATTTTAACTAAATTTGATATGAAGCATCCTTTGGATCAGGGGCTCAATGGATTTATGTAATAAGGGTGTGGCCCCCTAGGGGGTTTAGTAAGGGGCCAATAAGGAAAAAAATTAGAAAAAAAATAAAAATCTTCTTCTCCATTACCAGAATGTCTCCTAGCCCCCTAGGGGACTGAGTTAGGGGCCGAAAGGGGGGCGGGGGTGTCGGGAAAATTTTAAAAATATTGTTCTTTAGTTATAAAAATGCTAAGATTAAATA